GTTCCTGTCAGTCCTGCCCAATTAGGGCTTATGAGGTCATTTTCTTTTTCTTTCTTTCTTTTTTTTTTACATATTTATTTTTTAGTTGGACACAATATCTTTATTTATTTATTTTTATGTGGTGCTAAGGATCAAACCCAGGGCCTTGCATGTGCTAGGTGAGCACTCTACTGCCTGAGCCACAACCCCAGCCTCTATGACGTCATTTTCAATATCCAAAGCACACCATTCACATTTGGTCTTCACAGTTTTTGTTCTTGATGTTTGTTCAGCCTTAAAATCCTTTTCCTTCTTATCCACTTGGCTGATCCTTTCTTTTAACATTCAGTACCAGTGCCACCTTCAAAAACCTAAGTTTCTTAAACTTTGAGCTCTTACAGTTTTCTCTTTAGAGGGTTCTAGCCATTCCCAAATCTGCTGTGGGTCATCTTCTGACAATTTGAGATAGCAAAGATTTAGAAATCTGCAAGTTCCTGGCTGGGGTAAGGGAGTCCATATGAAAAATGTAGGATCATGAAATGGAGGATTTGGGATTATTAGTTCAGTACAAGGCAGGAGCAGGGTGAAAAAGTGGAATCAAGGTGTCCTGAGAAAAAGTTTCCTGGAAGTGACTGATATGAAAAGTTAACTGGTGCAGTAGGAAGCTTAAGTTGGAATCTAGTTTCCAAGACTAAGTTCAATGAATTGGGAAAATCATTTTACCTCTTTGTACCTCAGATGAGAATAAAAATTCTGTGTCTCAGAGAATTGTAGTAAGAATTAAATGAAATAATGAATAACATGCATAGAAAAAAGCATATTTCTATACCCAGTTCAGTTGTCATCCTTTCCATAAAGCTTTCACTGACATTTCTAGGGGGAAATAATTGTGCTTTTGCTAAGCTCTGGAGTTATTTCTTTAGTTTACTTATTGTTCACATTTCATAGACTGGAAGATTTATATATCATAAGATTAATAAAATTCACAAGGGGGTCCTTCAAGGATTACAAACAAAGTTTGGAAACATGTCCAAACATGTTCAATGGTCTCTCTTCACCCTTGGAACCTAGTTTATAAAAAGTACACAAAAGACATGTGTGAACCAAATGAAGAATAGGATGGGACTCATAGGTGTATGCAAAACTGATTTCTCTAATTAGACTCTAAGCTCCTTAATGGAAAGGACAACATATATATGGTATTCAATAATCTATCCCTAATACAGTATCTGGCACATAACATATTCCATAACTACCTATGGAAGAAATGAATAAAGGTTGGTATTTCCTTTGGTTTACTATGGGGCACTATAAAATTTCTAATCCCTAACCTCCCTTGCAAAGGGTTGGAAGCTCTTCTCATGTGTTCTTTTTTTTTCAAGAGAGAGGGGGGGAGGAGAGGGGGAGAGAGAGAGAGAGAGAGAATTTTAATATTTTTATTTTTTAGTTTTCGGCGGACACAACATCTTTGTATGTGGTGCTGAGGATCCAATCCGGGCCGCACACATGCCAGGCGAGCGCGCTACCACTTAAGCCACATCCCCAGCCCTTTCTCATGTGTTCTTATGATATCCCATACTTCTACTAGTATATATGGTACTTATTACTTTATTGTAATTGTTTACTCCCCTCATCAATTTCCCACTTGTTTATGGGGCCTTTAATTACTTATTCACCTATGTCACTCTGGTACCTGGCAGAATCTAGAACTCACAAAAAATATGTTGGGAAGATTAATGGGTAGGTGGATGGATAGGAATAGATTCAGATTCAATCTGTCTTTCAGGAAATCTCTCTAGTGACCAACTACACCTATCTGCTAGAAAGATAAATGAAAAGAATGAATGAGTAAATCACTGGCCAAGAAATGTTAAAGATAATGACTGCTAGAGAAGTTTCCAGTAACTTATAGAATATTGAACCTGGCTTCAGGTCTACACAGTACTTACTTGATCTTTGACTTTGGGAACAGCCCTTTGACTTCTTTTTTTTTATGTTTCTTGACCTGTTTCTTTACCTGTAAAATAGATATTATAATTCCTCTTAGTCTGTCATTCAGAATTTTTGAACTTTGTTATAAATTATATCCTACTGTGAGCCTTCTGGTCAAAAATTTGTCTTGCAAGGGCCTAGGGGAAAAACCACAAGATAAAAGATCCAAGAAATAGCTGGATATAGATATAGACAGAGACAGAGGCACAGATGGGAAGAGGAATAGAAAGATAGTTTTTAATGACAATGAAGTATGGCTGGATTGTTTAAATAAGATATAAAAAGCACAAAGGAAAGGAAGAGATCATTTACATGATCATTTAAATGAAATAAATTTATATAAGATAAAAATAGTGAAGTCAAAGTTGAAAGATAAGATTTGGTCTGGGAAAAGATACTACTATGCATATAATGCAAAAGAAAATCAAACTCAAGCATACAGACCCAGACATACTTAATAAAAATTCCAATTTCCTATAAGGACTATTAGGTGAGAAGGTGTAGATCTATAACTAATGGGCCAAGAGGGGACATAACTCCCAGGTGAGATTTGCTCGAAAGTAATACTAAGGGAAGTGTGAACTTTATGGTAGAAAACCAAAAGTTTCTGACTTGAGGCTGCCTGTCTGGTTAAAGTCAGTTACCTCCAGTCTCTATCTCAAACTTGAAACACATGCTAATCTGACTGTAGTACCTCCTGTCTTCAAAACATAAATATATATTCTCTTTCTCTTCCTTGTGCAGGTATATGTGCACACACACAAAGAGGCAGGAATGTTCTCATCTGCTTCTGCACATATGTTCTTGTTTCATTTCTTTGGGACATCACACTTCTGTGCTTATTTTTTTTGTCCGGCTCATAGACAACTTTCATGTACCTCCTAGGTCTCAGGTTGACCCTTCTCTGTGCTACCACCTCAGGCCCACTTCTTAAGAAAGTATAGGATGGGACCCATAGGATGGGACTCTGCCACACTGTCATCTTAGCTATAAGCAATATTGCATGTAGAATTCACATTTTCAGAGTGACAAATGTTTGCCAGTGTACCGCCTCAGGCCCACTTCTTAAGGAAGAATAGGATGGGACCCATAGGATGGGACTCTGCCACACTGTATTATAACAGCCTGCTTCCTTGACTGTTCCTCTCCCCCAACCTCAGGCTGAGTCCTTCCAAAACCTGGCCTGGGTCCTACTTATCTCTATTCCCAGAACTTCATACAAGATTTGGCCTACAAAGGAGTCTAAATGAGTGTTAACTGTACTTAACTGAGCCACAGACAAAATGCTATAGGAGCACTTCATTCTATACGTAAAAAAGGAAAAACAAAGGTCAGGAAAGATTTCACAGAGCAAGTGACATTAGAGTTGGATATTTAAAAATGAGAAATGACATCATATGTGGAAGTTAGAAAAAAGGAAAAGAAATGTGGGGAGGGACCTCATGAAAATTTAAGGGAGATCAGTAGACTAAAGGAAATGGGGGGACGGAAAGGGGAAATAGTGGGGAATTATATTGGCCAAATTATTCATATTGTATACATACACGAATATGTAAAAACAAATCCCACTGTTATGTACAATTATATTGCACTGAAATAAATGTGAAAAAATGAGAAATTACAAAAGATGAACAGCAACAACAAAGAGCTACAGGAGAATCCATCCAAGTGGCCTTCCTCTCCCAACAGAGGTGAAGAAATCTAATCTGATATTATTTAGTGGTCATTATTTTCATATGAATGTTAACTTTTTCAAGACAGGTTTTTGTCCATTTTATTCAGGGATGTATCCTGACTGACTAGAACAGGGCATGCTCCATATTAAGCACTTCATTAAGAATTTGTTCCATTTGGATACTTAAGACAGGGATAAAAAAAAAGGCACAATGAAATGTAACAGAGTATAATGTAATATTACTGTGTGATAACTCTAGGTCTCTAGAGTAGTAACTGATTTTCTTTTCTTTCTTTCTTTCTTTTTTGTATTGTGGATTGAATCCAGGGACCTTTTACCACTGAGCTACATCTCCAATTCTTTTTTGTTTTATTTTTTTGAGACGAGCTCTTGCCAAGTTGCTGAGGGTCCCCCTAAGTTGTTGAGGATGGCCTTTACTTGTGATTCTCCTGCCTCAACCTCCTGAATCACTGGAATTACAGGTGTGTGTCACCAAGCTGGCTCAACCAGGTGTATTTTGTTCCCCTTTGTATTCTTTAGTTCAATGCCAGGTAATATTGGTGCTCAATAAATATTTGTGGAAAATATTTGTGGAAAAGCAAATTGATAATTGATTAAAATCTAGAATATGACTATATCCTAAAATTGTAAAAGCTCTTATGTAACAAAACACAACAACAACAAAAAACCTGGCTTCAAACTGGGTTTTGATACATACTATCTGGCCTTGGGTAAGTTCCTTAGTTTCTTCATCTGACAGGGTGGTTCTGGGACTAAATAAGAGGATGGATGTATATGCATGTAGAACATGGCCTGACAAACATTTATCACTCCGAAATGTGAATTCTACATGCAACATTGATTACAGCTAAGATGACAGTCGCTTGAGCGAATAATCGGTTAAGTGCCCTAACTGATAGGAAAGGATGAAGGATAGCTCTACCCTCGCTCCTTTGGAGACTCCACATCTGGAGCGGGAAGACTAAGTTACGCAAATGAAGTTTCCAGCCGCACCTGCCTCCGCCGTCGCTTCCGCCTTCGAGGGGTCCGCGGAGGCGACGACCGGGTCAGGCGGGACGCGCGCCTGCGAGGCTCGCGGAAATCTCGGAGCTGCTCCACGGTGGCGCTTGCCACTACCTTCCTTACTCCTTAGTAACCGCGACGCCGCGGCTGGCCGTGTAGGCAGCAACCGGCGGCCGGAGCTTCTAACTACAAGTCCCGGCAAGCTCCGCGGTCACTTCCGCTTATAACCTCGCGTCATCTCGCCCCGAACTACGGATCCCGAAGGACTCCGAGCGGCGCGTCACGCTGGCAAATTCAGCCAATCGGCTTCGGACAAGTCGGAGGGGAGGGAGACGCAGAAGCAGACAAGATGGCGGCGGCGGCGGCACAGGGCGGGAGAAGTGGTGGTGGCGGAGGCAGTAGTGGGGCTGGTGGTGGCCCTAGCTGTGGGACAGGCAGCAGCCGCAGCGGCTTGTTAGATAAGGTAAGGAGTCGGTTCCTGGGGACAGTCAAATCCTGGGGAGGCTTGGGGAGCGGCGAGACCACCTTCCCATCCCCGCCCCCTTATTTTTGCGGCCTCTTGAGGAAAACCCTCGTCTAGCCCACCGACACGGGCTTGTAGCCCGCACATTCCCCACTTTAAGCCCGAACTTTCACCTCTTCAGGGCTTCTTTGTCAGAAATGTCCCTGGTCCTTAATGCTGGCCACCACAGCTTTTCATAATTTGATTACTCCCACACATCAACGTGGCCATCACTTTTCCCTTGTGCTGGTGTCCACCGTACAAAGTGCCCTTCACTGACGGGGAAAACTGAAGCCCAAAGAAATTAAGGAATCTACTCGAAGTTGGTAAACCCAAACTCCTCACCACATCACCCTCGTGTGCTGCTGCAGATTCCAAACGCTCCTTCAGTCTTTTTGCTAAAGTTTCTGGGCATTTTTACACGCTATTAATGAAAACATTTGAGTGTTGACTTAACCTGCTGGGCTGAAAGGAAACCTTAAGATTTTTCCCTTCATGTCTTCTTTACCCTCTGCCCTCTTTTCTTTGCCTGTTTGCAAGCGAGTGCACTACTATATACTACTGCTTGCCTCTTTCCTTCTGTGCCCGCCCAGTTTTTTTTTTTTTTAATTGTTGTTTATTTTTTTTAACCGCACACTCAGCAACAAGGGTTTAAGGGAAAAAAGGGGCGGGGGGGGGGGCGCAGGTAGAACTGTTCCTGGGTTGTCTTTTCTTAGTCTTTGTACAGTATGCAGGAAGAAATAGTTTCAGGGAAACAAGAATCCTAGTATTGGTTCTGCGTTTAGCTCCGTGACCTTGATACACGCTTGCTCTTCCTACGCTTATTCATCTGCAAAATGAGGGATTTAACCTAAATGTACCCTAAGGTCTCTTTCATCTAGTAAACAAGATTTTTTACTTTCATTAGGAACAACAACTGTCAGATATTCCTGTGCCTAATATATAGTATGTGCTTAAGAAATGAATACATGATGGTGTGGAGAGGCTCAGATCCAGATCTTTTTGTCTTTTTTGAGTATCCAGGTTTGAATTACATGGTTCTAACACTTTTAACCCTTAAAGACAGGAATGCATTCTGGAGGCCTGCACAGTAAATTTTTCCAAGACATGTGAGAGCATTGGGAATTGATGGACAGTTTTATATACAAATTCTGAGTACCTCACAGCTGGTGATTGTCCCCCCCCCCCACTAGCCTTCCTCTACCTTCCAGTTGTATCATCAAATATTAAGCATGGGCCTCCTGCTGAGGCAGAGATTACTGAATAAGGTGTCCCTTTGTGTGTGCTGGGATTTGGTTCCAGGAGCCCCTGTGGATTTTGATAACTGGAGGATGCTCAAGTCCCTTAGGTAAAATGGTGTGGTATTTATATATGAGCTGCACATCTCTAATATGCTTTAAATTACCCGTGATTACTTATAGTATATAATGTAAGTGGTATGTAAATAGTTGCTATGCTGTATTTTTTAGGAAATAATGACAAGAAAAGAAGTATACCTGTTTAGGACAGATTTTTTTTTTTTTTTTTTTTTTTTTTTTAGAATGTTTTTGTTTCTTGGTTGATTAATCTGGATTTGGAGGGCCAGCTGGGTACTACATGGCATCATTATGTTATTGGAAGAACCTGGATTGAAGTATATCTGCTCCTTGGAAATAATATGAAGACTGGCAAGCCAGTTAATCTCACTAAGTTTCTTTTCTCCATCAGAAATATTAGGTCTCTGGCACCTACATTACAGATTGTTTTGGGAGAATCAAATGTGACAATATACATTAATAATCTCTGATTTCTGTAGTGTCCAGTACAGATGTGTGATGGTGGAGGAATAAATACATCAATAATCCTATTTCTGTGGTGCACTCCTGTTATCCCAGTGGGTTGGGAGGTTGAGACAGGAGGATTGCAAGTTCAAAGCCAACCTTAGCAACTTAGTTAGGCCCTAAGCAACTTTGAAAGACCCTCTCTCAAAATAAATAAAAAGGGATGAGGATATGGCTCAAGCGCTTATGGATTCAATCCCTGATATCAAAAAAAGGAGAGAATCCTATTACAGAATACTAAATAACTGAATGTAAGAGATGAGGTAGTCAAAATGTTAAATATATTTAAGAAGTATATGGTGTATTCAAATGTATACTTTCTTTTTGGTACTGGCGATTGAACTCTGGGATACTTGACCACTGAGCCACATCCGCAGCCCTATTTTGTATTTTATTTAGAGACCATCTCACTGAGTTGCTTAGCATCTTGCTTTTGCTCAGGCTGGTTTTGAACTCACTATCCTCCCATCTCAGCCTCCTGAGCTGCTGGATTACAGCCATGCACCGCTGTGTCCGGCCTCAAATGTATACCTTTTGCAGAAATTTAAGTGAGAGAGAATAATCCTTAGATCTAATTGATAAGGGTGAGGGCTCTAGAGGAAGGGCTCTTAGGTCTGAGAGTGGAGATTAGACCTTAATTTGAGGGAGAGAGGAAAAGCATATCAGCCAAGAAAGTCTCCTTGAGTGAAGATGATCAGAATGTGAGGGTCCCTTAGGTTTCTCAGGTAGTAAGTTAACTGGAAGGTTCTCCAAGGGGATTATAGTGACAAGTAAAATCAGATTGGGGTGGGCATGGTTTGCTTGAAGTTGGAGTAGAAGTTGTTGATGGTCTTTGATATAAAGTGATTTAAAAGGAAGTTATTCAGATTGTTTGGAGAGGTAGAAATTAGAAGTTTTCTAACAAAGGACCTATGCCATACTAGTGATTTCATGGAAAGAAAAGTAAGTTTGAATTCTTGTGTAGCATGCTAAAAGCCAGTTCAGTAATATATAACTTATCACAATAAGTATTGTGGATGTACATAGTCTTATTAAATTATATAATATCGATAAGTGTTCTTTATAAAGGGCTACATAAAAAGTGATGAGAACCCCAACTTGAGTAGTAGAAATAGATAAAAAGGCCTCACACAGGAGCACTTGAAAGTTTTAACCAAGAAGCGAGGGACAGAAGAGAGAGAGAGTACTCAGGAACTGTTTAAGTGCTTTTTCTTGGAAAATTTCATTTCAGCCTTACATTGAATTCTGAATTTTGCTGACTCTTACTGCACATGGGAATTAAGCTGTCACCTAATATGTCATACTGTATTGTATTTCTTCACTCATTTTGTTTTTGTTCAGTTTCCGTTGAAGGATTCTCTATAGTGCTCAAGACAGTAACTACTTATAGCATTGATTTTAGCAGAGAAAAAAACTACGTTAAGTGTTCAGAAACAGCTTAGAGGATGGTGTATTTAATTGTATGAAAACTGAGGGTACTGTGGGAGAGAGCATGAGAAAATTGTTTTCAGTGGAGCAGGATTGGAGTGAATAGAGAAGCTTTTGGTTTGTGGGAACAAGAGGTTGGTACCTTTAATAGTCCTTTATTTTGATGTATCTTGATTTTGTGGGGGAGGGTTTTAATTTCTGCAGCTGTAGTTTCATTTGCCATAAAGAATTGTCATAAAGTGAGGCACATGCTTCTAGTTTTCTCTTAAACAGATGTGAATTTCTGCTCCTCTGAAACTGTTTTTAAGAACACAACAATTCTTGTTTCCTGATTTTAAAATAAGTATGCAAATCTAGTCTTCCAGTGCCCTTTACATAATGACTTGACTTAGTTCATTGCACAAAGTTGCTTCACCCAAAATACATCAAGGCATTTTGTTCTGAGTGGCAGCTGTAAATAAAAGCTGCTTGCATAAATTGTTTTGGCTATTAACGTTGATTTGTTAAACTATGCTTTCCTGAAACTGTATCCAGGCTTTTTTAACCTCATACTTAGAGTCTGTCTTTGGCTGAGCTGTCAGCCTGATTTTCTATCTTAGTTGAGAGCTTAAGTTCTGGATGTGCTTCTTGGGCAAGTTAATAAATCTCTCTGTATCTCAGTTGCCTCACCTGTAAAGTGGGGATAATAATAATATTTGCCTTAAAAGTTAGTATTTGGCACACAGTAAGCACTCAAGAAAAAAGTACACGTGTACAAATATATATAATTCCCACTTATCGCTGGTTCTTCTGGGTTTCAGCTTCCTTAGATAAATAAACATCACAGTGTGAGGTCTGATTACATGAAATTTCCTTGGGTATTAGTTAGGAATAACAGATTTCTGGACCTCTTCTCACATGAATTAGATCCTCTTGAGTCAAGGCCTGGACATTGCATTTTTCACACATATCTTGTATTTATTCTGCATTTTAACAGTGTCCTTCATGTTGAGAAATACTGGTCAGATTCTGGGTATATTTTGAATGTACAGCCAAAAATATATAACGATGGTAAGAATGTATAATACAAGGCAGAGAAAAGAATCAAGGATAACATGTTTTTGTTCCATAAACTGGATGAGTAGAGATGTCTTTTATTGAAATGAGGAAGACTGGGAGAAAAACACTTTTGAGGGATAAGCAGAAATCAAGAATTTGATTCTCCCTGGTACAGTGACACCTCCAATCCCAGCTATTCAGGAGGCTGAGACAGGAGGACTGTAAGTTTGAGGCTAGTCTGGACAACTTACTGAGACCTTGTCTCAAAAGAAAACATTTTAAAAGTCTGGGGATGTAACTCAATGGTAGAGTGCTTGCCTAGCGTGTCTGAGGCCCCGAGTTCCATCCCCAGTACCAGCAAAATAAAGTCTATTTAATTAAGTCTGATGTTATTAGACATTTAAGTGGAGAGGGCAAATGATGTATAGATGTCCAGTTTGGAAATGTGGAAGTTATCCACTTGTACATGGTACTTAAGCTCTAACACTTGGTATCACCTTTGGATGAGTATAGGCAGAGAAAAGGACCTAAGATGAGCTTAGGAGCTTGCCAATATTTATAGATCAGGAAGAAGACAAAAATCAAATAAAGAAGACAGACCTCAGTGAGAGAGGAAGGCAAGTCGTGTCCTAGAAGCTAAAGTTCACCTTTTTTTGTTTTATGTTTTAGTATACT